CCCCAAAACCCCAAAACCCCAAAACCCCGGAGGAATTGATAACTAGTAGTAATATAGCAAATAGTTAAATTTGAGAAATAAATGTAATTAAAAGTATAAATATTAATAAAATTTGAAAATGGTTGAAGGTAGAAATCAGAAGCAAGAAAAAAAGCTAAGACTTCCAGATAATGTTTTACCAATTAAATATATTTTGACATTTGAACCTAATAGTACTTACTCAGAATTCAATGCTGAACTTGATTTAGTTGTTCAGATTAAATCTGACTCTGATGTTATGGAAATTAACTTGCACAAGGATCAGTCTCTTTGACTCAAAATTATCACCATTTAAAAGTAGAATTAAGGTAAAGATATTTCACACTAAGAGGGAGAGTGTACATTAAATGATGACTATATAAAGGATGTATATTCTATTAAGTTCAAGGATTAGGACCAATTATTTAAAGCAGGAGAGATCTACTTAATTCATTTTAGCTACTCTGGGGTTATCAACCCTGAATTATGTGAAGGTGTATTTTCGGTTGTAGATTAGAAATTAATTCCAAAAGATACTACATAAACAGAGGAGGTTAATCAAGCTTTTAGATTAGAAAATACTTAAATTTGCACACAATTTCAAGATAAATTTGCCAGAATGTTAATGCCTTGTCTAGATGAGCCCTAGTTCAAAGCAATATTTTAAGTCAATGTCTTGGTCAAGGAAAAAACTCATTAGGCTATATCTAATTCAGCTTGCTGTATTGAGTAGCTAATAGATGGCAATAGACTTTATAAGTTTGAGGACACACTTAAAATGCCCACTTATTTACTTGCAATTGTGATTGGGAAATTTGATACTCTTACCTTAACTACAAAAAGAGGAGTATAAATTAAGACATATACTTAATCTGGCTTATCAGAAGATGCTAGAGAATCTACTTAACTTGCTTGTGAAGCTTTTGATTATCTAGAGGAATATTTCCAGATTGACTATCCACTCCAAAAGGCTGACATCATATCTTGCAATAAATTTTCAGTAGTAGGAATGGAGAATTGGGGTTGCATCATTTTTGACAGATATCTTATCCTAGGAAATTAAAATAATACCAACAAAGACTAGTTGTTCAATAACTATCGAACTTTATGTCATGAAGTATGTCATTAATGGTTTGGGAACTTGGTAACTATGTAGTGGTGGGACGATATCTGGCTTAATGAAGGATTCTCTAGATATATGGAGCATGTCATGATGGCCGACTTGAGACCAGAATTCAATGTATGGCAAGAGTTTATGGATTAGATGTACTTTGCTTCAATTCAATTAGATTCATTTTTAGAGATTACACATCCAGTTTAATTGGAAGTAAAGGGAAATGAAAAATTCTATGAAATCTTTGACACTATTTCTTACAATAAAGGATCTTCAATATGTAGGATGATTGAAGGATATATAGGAGATAAAAATTTATTTAGAGAATGCATGAGAGTCTATATGAAACAGTACTAATACAGAAATGCTAGCACAGCTGAGCTGTTTCAAGTTATGAGTGAAGTTTCAGGCAAACCAGTGGCGAAGGTCTTTCACAAATGGATCTAGCAGCCATGTTTCCCTGAAATACTAGTAACAAAGGTGTCTGAAAAATAATACAAGCTAAGATAGCAATGTTTCAATTCGTAGACTGAGGACTTATGGATAATTCCAGTTAATTATGTCACCTCTAAGCAAAAAATTGGGTAATTTTTAATTGAAAATTAAGATTTAATCGTTGATATTCCTGAACTTGAAGCGGATGAAATGATATGGTTTAATTATAATGCATTTGGATACTATATTTTAAGATATGAGGATTAAAATGAGTTCAACACAATTTATGATTAAAGACAAATATTCGGGGGTCTAACTGTTTATAGTATCAAAGTCAATAGAGAGATGCTTTTGTAGTGAATTAGAAAAAGCTCTAAATAAATATGATTAGTAACCATCTGTTTTTAATTAGTAAGAGAATGCGAGTTTATTTCTATTTTAATTTAATTTATATAAACTTGACTTATAAATAAGATGGCTATCAACTGGGGTTTTGGGGTTTTGGGG